TGCCCACCACTTATCTATATGAATAAGTTAATTATTTTATTTGTCATGCACACCTGCACCCAGCCCTCATGGGCTTATAGGAACCCCAAAACAGGATGACCCTAGATTTAAAACTATTTCATATACACCAGTTGTTTTTAGAACTTACCCGGTTAAAAGATTTTCAATCTCATTTTCCATGCCTGCTCCATATATCCAGCTACACCAAAAATTGTGTTCTTAAACAACCAGCTGAATATTCCACCTTCGGCCAACCAAAACAGATCAGGATTACTGTGTTGGATTTTTTTCAAATAAAGCACTTAACTTATTATATAGTGGAGAAAAAAAACATAAAACCATCTCTACGTTTTGGGGTTGCAAGGCTAGGGAGCAGTGCTAAAGGGCCAACTGGTGCTCAAGCCTACTGTTTGACGGGTTTTCTGCTTGTTGCCTCACTGTGTGATGGAAGTAGAATCAAAGTGTAATGTTGTCTTACATAGACACCATTACACACTATCTAACCTGTTGGAGCATCCAGTGTTTTGCAGTAGTGACAAGCTTGGGAGAGCCTACTCAGATTTTATGGTTCACACAATGTAAAACCAGTCCAACTCTAAAAAAAACAGCCAAATTGCCACGCTTTCTTGAAACTCACATACAAAGCATAAGACTATTACACAAACAAGACAATCAAAGAACACACAATAAACACAGAACTGTATTAAGAGTAATAAACCCCTGGCATCCATCTTTACAGAGATTCTCATTGGAGCTGGGCAAAGTTCCCACCTGATTCATAAACTCTACATTCATCTGGATTTTATGACTACAGGCCTATTGCCCTAATATCTGTAATCATGAAGTCCTTTAAGAGGCTGGTTTGAGGTCACTTAAAGAACATTACAAGCCCCTTGTTGGACCCCCTGCAGTTTGTATACAGTAAATGATGGAGGAGACCTGAGACAGCTTTACATCTGGCATCACTTTGAGCGTCAGTGAAAAATGCAAGGATCTTGTTTATGGACTTAAGCTCAGCTTTAAACACCAAACCCTCAGAGACATCCTCAGCATCAAACTCAACCAGATCACAATATCATGCTCCACCTTTCATTGGATCACAAACTTCCTGATTGACAGGAGTCGGAATGTAAGTCTCTACACCTAGCACACAATCAACCAGCACAGGTGCTTTTTTCTGCTTTTACCAATGACTGAGGGATGGAATACATTTGACAAACTCCTGAAATTTGCCGACAACAGAATGCTCATCTGCTTCATCTGGAACGGTAGTAACTAAGCCTACAGACAGAATGTTGATCTAGCGGCTGTCTTATGCAGCTAGAGGAACATAATGCCTAACATGCTAAAACCAGCGGATATTATGGTGAGGTTCAGAGGGATGCCCTCTCACTGTGCCCTATCACAATATAAAGAATGTGGAAACACTGGGATCCAATACACCCCTGAAACCTAACACTGACACCGTCATCAACCTCCCCACCATCACAATAGAGTGTTAATAGAGTGTATATGTTTTGCTATCTATTCAGTAGTCTTTTTCTGGCTTCTTTTTTAAGATTATCTTTAACAAGCATGTACATGAAGTAGAGCCATAACACAGACATCATAATTCGGCTCAAAGTGAGTGAGAGTTTAGTCCTAAACTTGGATTAGACGAAGAGGAAAAGGTAAGCATTAATAAAAACTACCACTGACCCAATTGCCATGGCATGGCAAGTTTCTCAATATAAGACCAAAATGGATTTGAACATAGTTAAAATTGGGATTAGAAGATGTGTAGGATCTTATTTAGGGGACAGGAGTTTAAGGTCAATAACAAGGGTTTTCAGTTTCAAAAGTTAATCCGCTACTGTGGGATGATAAGAGGATGAGTAGAACTGGGTCATGATCTCAGAGTTCCACATGGGCCCTGGTGAGAAGGATGAGGGAAAATCACAGAGCTATACTCTTATTTGAGTCTGCTGGAGTTTGTTTCGGCTTACGAATTATCAAACACAGACTTAAAACAAAATATTGTACAGAGGGAACAAGAAAAAAACGAATCTATTAATGAAGGAGCCAAAGAGAAGCCATTAGAGATTTTTAAACACAGAAACAAAACAAAGGCTTTATGCTAGAGTAATGGGAGGGATACACAAGTGGCAACACAGAACAACTGGGAGTAGAACAAGGGTGAAAAAAACAGAGGTGATCCAGAGGACACATATGTTTTCAAAGGCATCTTAATTGAAAAAAAAAAATAGAGAACCATAAACTGCAGCTATCAAACATTTTTGTAATGAAAATAATTGGAAATAATAATCCCTAAATGAATTAAGTCATTTAGATTTAAATGTGCTCCACAGGCATTTTGAAACCCTTTTTTTCTAAATTATCCACATAAATGTAAGAAAAATAGCATTTTTCCCTTTTCTCTTTCTCAAATCTGCACAGTTATTTACATCTACATATCATCAGTTCCTATAGCCAGTTAAAAACTCTGTCTGTTTAACTGTGTTTCTTTTCTAGACAAAGCCTAAATGAATGTACTGCTACCATAAACTATAGCCAGGGGTCATCAATTCTGGTCCTTAAAGTCTTGTGGCCTTTTAAGATGTGTCTACTTCAACACACTTGAGTCAAAATATCCGGGGTCGTACTCCTATCCTCAAGAATAAAAGCTATTTATCAATTTTTTCAAGTTTAAGAATCACTCCTTCTCCCTGAATATTTCAAAGAGACCTCCAGAGGTGTCTTTGCAGGTAGGCGTTAGCACAAGAGGATGTTATTGAGGAGAGAGATATGTTTAAGGAAGCTTTGGGAGCTGAAGACGTTTTGGATTTAACTATGCACAGCTGGTCAAATGGTTTTCTTCTGACAGAGCGGGTATAATTTGTGTTAATAACCTAATCAGGGAAATGTTTTTATTGATAACCACATGCAACAGAGCTTCATGCAGGAATTTAAAGCAATTATATTGCTCTAAGAGGAAATGGAGTATAAACTATATTTCCATTACAGTTTCTCACAAAACAGTTACTAACAAACATCGGTTAGTCGTGGTAGTGTGTTACAAATGCATGGAGAAGACATAAATAACTAGTGGCCAGTCGGGACTGATACATGAACTTACAGCATGTCTGCGTGTTATCCAAAATAAACTCCTCTAAGCCCATTGTTGGGTATTTTTTTTCAATAGTCCTGCATATGACTGGTATAACGTCTCTGTTCTCTCTGATTCCAAAGTTAATGCTCTTAAATTAACCTCATAGTTAAAAAGGATAAAAATGTCAATTTCTCCGTCTGTTTAAGAGCCAAACAAGTGTGCAGTACACATTATAAGAGAGGTCTGGAAAAACCATCCCATAAGAGAATAAAAGCTTTTAGCAATACTGAGAGATTTTTTTTCTTATTTTAGGTGTTTTTCAGTAAGTCTACAAGATCTGTGCAATCTGGATGAAACACGGGGCCATCACACCCATCCATAAACACTTCCATTCAGCAATTGGTCAATTCAACATACTTAGAGCTGTCAAAGTTAAATCCTCGTTAACGCAATTTTGTTTTAGTGCCATTGATAGTTTTTATTACAGGTAACGCACACACTCTTTTGCCCTCATCTATGCTGTATTCTAACCATATTTTGTTTTCTGTTTCAACCTATTTTACAAAAGATTCTAAGCTTTACCGCCATATATTCACCTCTCCAACTCAGCATGCGCAGAGCAGCTGTAGGCGCCCCTTGTTAGTGGCTGACAGGAAGAGAAACAGAAGAAACCTTTGGAGGTTTTTTTTTTTTTGACTGTTGTAGAAAACAAATATAGGAATGCATTGGTTTACATGCAGTTACTCAAAACGTGAAATTGGATATATGTAAAAGCAACAGAGGTGGGAAATGATTCAACGTTCTGTGTCTGTGACACTGATCCATAACTAGGAAAAAAATATTTACTCTGAACAGCAGTGTTAGTCTGTTAGTCTAAAGTAATCTGTAGTAGTGCTGCAGACTTTGCTTATGATCAGGTCTTGCTTACAGTAAGGATCTTCCTCAGAAAAACAAAACTTTTGATGCCTATAGGGGTCAGTTTTCTTTTTAAAGTTGGAACTTTTTACATTTTTGGAGGTTTGAATTAAACAAAAATAAAAACTTGAGGAAAACAAGTCATTAGAAGATGCAGTCTACTTGGATCTCCACCTTCCTGACAGGCTGGCAGTGATAAGTGAAATTGGGGAGCATATTATTCCACACAAGACCCATCATCACTGATGCACCCCAGGGATTTGTTCCGTCAGCGGGCCTGTCGGGCCTCCCTCCCTGAGACTGAATGTTTCAGAAGGAAATGGAACACATGGATGTGTTTTAAAAGGATCCTTTAGGTGGAATCTCAGTGGATTAAAGAGGGATTTAAAAATAAATTTGCTCTTTTTTTTTTAAAGATAGCTATCTTAACTAACTTACTTTAAATGCTTACTGAGTGTTGAAAGTTATGTTATGATCTTCTGGTTGTTAGAAGAAGTGCCATTCCTGACTAACCAATAAAGCTTTTTAACAAGATATTAGTGGACATTGTTCATTAAAAACTCTCAGGACAGCCAGAAAAAGACTTTTTTAACTTTGTTTAGGAAAAAAATCCCTATGCAAGAGTGCCAGTATGTTTTGCTCCTCTTGTAATGCCTGATAATAAAACAGTGCAACCTCACCAGAGTGTTTGACTAACAGCCATTGAAGTATCCTGATGACTGCTTGCACAACTTCTTTCAGTTTCCCCTTTTAATGCAACACAAACACACTAAATAATTTAATTATAGACAAAACCAATATTTTCTTTTCAAATACAAGATTTCAGTGCATGAACCTTCCTAATAAGTTTTCACAAAAGGCATTTTATCAATGTAGAACTGTGATTGAACAATTTGCAGCTAAACAATTTTAAGAGCTGTGTTGTGAAGTTTAGTTTTCTTTGCAAACTTAGAAATATAATACATTTTAGGAATCAAACATTTACGGATGTACTTACCCATTCGGACGGCGGATAGGGTGTTGGCTTTGCTGAAGAGATGAGGTGCCATAGTCAGCAGCAGGACGACGACATAAATCGACAGCAGCAGTGCTGGCAGAGCCTGCATCTTCCACTGCTCCTCATGGAGAATGGTCTGCTGGCTGCCTGTACTGCCACCTTCAAGACAAATGGATGAGCCATTACTACAGAGGTATATATCATAAATACTAGCACAGTGGAATGGCACATATTATTTAAGCAGTGACGTCACCCACTATTAAACACGATCAGTTATTAACAGTAAGGAATGTACAAAATTTGCCTTTAGAGATCCTTCTTAAAAATTAACCCAATCCTTGCCCTCTACTGATATGACTAATTGTTTAATGATAAAGAAAGACATAAAAAGTTGGAGAAAAACATTGAGAAAAGAAAAAATAATGAAATAATGGAAAACTTCTTAAGAGCTTAAGGTTTTGTGCTTTGTAGCTTTTATTGGCTGAATCTACTGTATCATGAATGACCAAATCAGGAAATGTTTTGTCCCTGACTACTCAACTGCAAATACTGATGTTTAACATAAATTTGTATGCTTTGGAGCAAAATGTACTTTATGTTTTGCTACAAAAACGTCCACTTCTTGTGTAGGGGACAGTCAGCTATAGGAAAAATAGATATATTGGCAAAGCGAAAACACTGGACAACTAGGTTGAAATGTCAAGTTTTTCAAGTGAAAGTAGCAGCTACATCAACAATACACAGAGGTTAAGTAAAACATTTTGAGTCATTTAACTTTGGGGTCTCATTGAATTTACATTGACGCTAAAAACAAACCCCACTCTCTTTGTTCTGTAAAAACTACCAATTACGAGCTGCTGAGCCTCCAGAATAAACTACATGTTATCCACCATCCACTAAAATAATTTTTATCAGTCCAAAAGGGGAACAAGATAAATGAATAGCACAAGGAAAATAAGAAAAAAAAAAGAAAGGACATGCAGAAGAATAGGCGAAGATTACTTAGAAAAACACACAGATTTTAAATCGTGTGGTAATGCTTATTACTATAAAAAACAAAAACGTGGTGATGTAAGAGATGAAAAATAGGGCAAGCAGAGATGCTACGGTGAGTAGTGTTGGTGAGATGAAAACTAACTCCAGGTAGAAAAAAAATAATACTGTACATAACAATAAGTAATTAGGGTATTTCCATAGGAAACAATGTCATGTGAGCAGGCAAACTGAGCTAGCGGGACCCTACCGATACAAACCAGCATGTCAGCTCACTGCAGCAGCTCCAAGGCTAATCAAAGACTCAGCTCTATTAGCTTTTTTCAGGCCAATCTCATTTTACATTGGAGGCATTTAGTTAACAAACATTCACAGCAATTTACATAGAGCGTAGCAACGCAATAGGCCTTAAAGGCTCACTTTATCAACTTCACAAGTGAAGATTCTGTGGGTCACAGCAGCTGCAATAAAGACCAAAATTACTGCATATTCTCAAAAACAGACGACCTTACGTTGTGAAAGAGGTAGTTAATGAACATAGTTTAATTAAAGGGGTCATAGAATGATTATATAGGGTATTTGGTGCTGGTCCTTAAGGTCTCTGAATAGGGTGTGTAACATTGGTTGGGCTGAAAATGGCATATTTGCTGTTCTATGAGCCCTAATACAAGCCTGCTTAAAAGGCCTAAAATTAAACAGCAGGTTTTCTTCCTTTTATAAACCAACCAATAAGCGCACAGCTCATCTAAATATTCATGAGCATACCATAAAAGGAAGAAACCTCAGAGACTTTAAGGTCCACCACCAAAAAAACAATACAATCATTCTATGACCCCTTTAAAGGAAGAAAATGCTTATCTGTTATGCAAAGACAAAAAACAAAGCAGCCTCTAGATACATTTTTGTCATCACACAAATCTGTGATGCTAAAGAAAAGCAGTCCAGCCAAACATTTTTCCCCATTTTTTGTTTCGCAAAATCAAATGCAATCCAGACAAAATATAATACCAACCACTTAATACATATATCACCACCAACATTTCTAGGTTCTATCTAACCACATTGATGTCTTGAAAATTAAGTTGTTTTTTCTTTAAAAAAACAAAACAAAAAAGATAGAAGTCTTAAAAAAAAGGTTATATATGTTGGGATCTGGAGATTCTCCACCTTCTCCAGCAGAGTGCGCTGTGGATCTCCTGGGCTGGAGCCCTCCAGCACAGCTGACGCTCATCAGCCCATCAGGAGACCTGCCTATATAAGCAGCTGCCAGACCTTCCTTCAACGCCGCAGTGTTGACCAAGTTTGGTTAGCAAACCTGAGCCTCTGATATCTACTAGAACCTTTGCCTTAGAGAAACCCAACTCTAACCTGCCTCTGTCTTCTCGCTCCTAGGAAACCTGTCTCTCGTGTGAAGCTCTGGATGAGCTTAGCCTGTTACCTGCCTGCCTGCCCTAAAGAGCCAAACCTGAAGATCTCACTCTGGAATCCACCTGCTGCTCTCAGGGAAGGAGCTTATCATTCAACCCAAGGTCTGACACAAACAGTCAGAAGCAAGATGCTGCAGCTGCTGAGCATTCTGCTGAAACACAGTCTCTGGACCCAACCGGTTCCCTCTCTCAGAGAAGAAAACCTGAATCTTGTCAAGGTATTTTCTGAAATATCAGCAAGCTCAACTACTAATCAGTAAACCTGGCTAATCAAACTATCCGTCTCTGCAGACGCCTGAGAATCCTGCCCGGACCTGTTTCCAGAATCCAGTTCATATTTTCTTGTTCAAATCTTTAATAAACTCTGTTGAACTTTTTACCCAGTCTCCAGTGGTGTTCTGCATGTGGGTTTATTTCCTAAACCAACCATGACAATATATCAGTATTCATTCTTTAAACCACTTTGGACTGTGCCATATGGGGAAAAAAGCACATAAAAGACAGAAGCTTAACAAATTTAAAAACATCCAGATCGCTCCAAAATAACAAGACTCAAAAATGTCCATATCTATAATAAATTGAAGTCCTGCTGAGACTCCTGCTGACTTAGAATTGCAAGTTAAAACACCACTTGTTAGCTTTCACCTTTAAAATTCAAATAACAGAGGGAGTTTTGATTGAGGGGCAGAAACAACACTGTTCCTTGATCCATAGTAGGCTTGTCATGAATAACATAATTATAATCTTAGAGTAGTAATGATGAATCAGTCACTGTAATTAAACTTCAATTACCAACAATTTACCATTTTTTGGATTGGCTCCAAGAGCTCACAGTATAAAATGCCTTAAAATTATATTCCGTAGAAGAAATTAGTCAAATGTATGTTTAACTAAACTTAAAGTTAATACATAAATAATAGCAAAGCTAAAAGTTTTAAAAACAACCTTTGGAATATCCTCTTACTTATTCCTTTTTTCTGACTGTTATTTTGTTATCACAGCAGCCCTAAAGGTTAAATCTTAAATTCAAATTTCCTGCTGCAGGAGTGACTCATTCTCACCTCACTGTTCAATTCAAACACAGATGACTTTGCAGACTTTGTGTGTCTTTTTTTCTAAAAACAATACCTAAAATAATGTTGCACTGTGTATAGCCAGTATTCATACAATTAGATATTTCTGAATATGGAAAAAATAATCCCATTAACATTCAATCTTTGTGTAAAAAAAAAAAAATCAATTTTGACATGGATTATTTGTAATAGTTACAGCAAAATCTTTGTGAGTGGTAAGGCCATATAGCTTCCTTGATCTCATCACAAGGTTATCTTCTCTCAGATGTAGTTAGCATGAAAGAAAAATGAAAACAGGGGCTTTCACCCAACAAAAAAGGAGTGATTTGAATTAAGCGCCTCATCTCTTGGGTAATGGACCTTAATGCACACCAAAATATAGGATTTTAGCTTTCTTTTCCTTCAGGGGATAAGGAGATTGTGTTTTGCACCAATAGCATCATGAAGTGCCGTGTTGCTGACTCAAGTCATAATAATGACATGGTAATCCTCCCATTTAGTTGAGAGGAAGGAGAGGGATTTCATTTCTGCATGTAATGCAAATCACTCTAATCAAAAGTAAATATCTATATATATATATATATATATATATATATATATATATATATATATATATATATATATATATATAAGCCAGAAAGGAAAACTAACCTTGGTCCTACTAAAGCTTTCTGCTGTTAAAACATGCTCTGGAAAGCACCAATCAAGGCATCAACATGCTAACAGAGAGAAGTCTGAACATTTTTGCATTGATATTTGGTGACCAATCCCTCTAAAATGGCAAGTAGGCACAAGCCATGGCAGTAAAATGTTTCACAGCACGTAGCAGCTGTCAAATATCCGTATTAAAGGATAAAGGACTTCCCTTAATTTGTCAGTCATGATAAAGTTGTTTTGCTTTGTCTTTTCAAAAAAGCAGGTTAAATTTTGGGCTGACGAGGGAGAAAACCCACAAATTTGTATGATCTGAATCTTAACTGATTACATTTTAGCCAGCATATTGTGATTGTGGATTAGATGAAGATGGGGAGACGATGGCTTTAAGATAAGACAAGACAATACAGGCTAAGAAAAATAACACAGTGCATTTAACATCTTCAATTTGCCAATCAGCTTTCAATGTAGAAAATAAAAGATCCCGTAAAGCCTGTCATTCAGTGAGAAGGGTTATAGAAGGAAAAATAAATCTATGTAGGTGGAAAATTTCAAGGAGACTCAAAAAAAAATTAGATGACACCTTATTCTACAGATCTTTTTGAATTATTGCAAAAATAAGTGGCAATAAATGAACAGGGGAAAAAAAGAAACTGCTTTTGGAATTATCTTTAATGCTCATTAGATTTTTTTTTCTTTACCTTTAATCTTAATAGTAAACTTGAATCTTTTATCGAATGCTATTTATGACATTTGCTTCAGTTACCGGCAAAATGAACTGCTTGAATAAAGCCTTATTCATTCCTAGGTTTTGTGTTGGTTGTGCAAATCTATATCTGGTCTCAGTAACTAGCTCAAGAGTTTACCTAGATATTATTTTCTATAAACTTCTACCCAAAGTCTTGCCACATCAATCTAGCCTAAATTTATTTGAATATGAAAACCAGCAAAAACAAAATAAATAAATAAACAGATGTGTCAAGTAACGAAGTACTAATACTTTGTTACTGTA